GGGGGGGGGGGGGTTCGGAAAGGTTAAAGTTCGTAAAGTCGGAAGTGGATAGGAAAAATAAGTGAAAGGAGCTATTTCAACGTTCTATTACGCGAACGGACGTTTCATTGACATCGGGTCCGTAAGGCTGTCAAAGGGCAAGGAGAGAATGAAAAAAAAAAAATTGAAAATCAAAAAAAAATTTGTCAAAAATACGTCTCAAAAAAATTACCAAAATGATTATTACACTTACGATATTCACCCCTATAGATATCGGCTGACTGACCGAAATCCTTCTGCTCCAATTTCTCACTGAAATCCCACGGTTTCCTGTCCTCCTCCGTAGGGGTCGCCGGCTGCTCCTTCTTGTAGGTCGCCGTCCTTTCCATCGCCGGGGAATATTCTCGCCTCTGATAGGCTGGCCTGGCCTGCGGATATTCCTGCGGAACGTCGTGAGCACTTGTCGCGTGCAAGGGTTTCAAATCTCTGTAAATGGGATTGTCGCTGCAAGCCCGAGTCGAATTTTCGTCCATCTCTCCCCCCTCGGGCGGACCACCACCCCCGGCACCCCCGGCCGCCTCGCCCTCGTCGCTGCTTCCTGAAAAAAAAAAAATGCACAAGGTCAACGGACGGAAAATAATTTTTCATCACGAAATAAGGGATAGCACCCTTGACGTATGATCACCTGTGCAATTCATCAAGGTCTTTATATATATATATATATATATTCAGCTCACGTACACTCAATGCAAAGTATCTATCCAGCCTGGACTCTAATCTCGGCAACGCTGCTGCCACAGCAGACGCATCCGCCACGTGAACCTGTCCCTATACAAAATCACCGACTTTTTCCCACAAGGGGATTGAACGAAAATTGCGCAGGCTTATCGTGTCCCGGCATTGTTTGCGGTTCCTTCTTTATTTTCTTTTTTTTTTTCTTTTACGACTTCCCGAAATCCTAGACACACAACTGCAAACGGTACCCCGCTATCTCGCGGCTGCTTTCTCACATAATGCTATATATTCCTCTATTCTTCTTTCTCCCCTCTCCCCCTTCTGCAGGATCCACGCCTTTTTCTCTATCACCTCCCCTCCGCCCCCTCGTTTCTCCCCTTCTATTTTCTCTTCCTTTTTCTTCGCTCAGTGACACCCAGAACCGAGGATGTTTGACGCGATAAGCTGCTTTTATTGGTCGGTTGTCGGCGGTTTTTCAAGAAGTCCTAGAACTCCTATATATATATATGTAAATCATATTCATATATCACCATAGATACCGTACAATTATAATAAATGTCTTAATAATATTTATATAAACACCAAATGAAATCGTCAAGAAGTCCTAGAACTCCTATATATATATATGTAAATCATATTCATATATCACCATAGATACCGTACAATTATAATAAATGTCTTAATAATATTTATATAAACACCAAATGAAATCGTCTCTCCCTGATATATCACCTATGTGTATGCATATATATATATATATATATGTATATATACACAGTATTTATCCAACGAGTCTCAAGCAAGGTTAGGGCATATCTATCTCAACGTATTTCGAATCTGGATTTGTTTGCCCAGGCACCGGATACGACGCACCCATTTAATAGCCGTCTTATCGTCAAATCGACGAGATATCCGTACGACCTGTCGTTTATCTCGAGTAAACCATTACGCGCGGTTCACAAGAGGCGACGGGGACTGCGAGGACGAAAACGCGCGACATGTTCCACGCATCCGTCATATTGTCTACGGGAGCAGTGCAGTCGGGGGTGGCCACGTGAAGACGGCGTTCTCAACGAGCGACACGCACGTACCTAAAATATATTAATTGACAGATAAGTAATGTCGATTATCATAGATAAGGCTGTTATCAGTGACAGGTGACTCGAATACCGGCTTAACTGCCGAATCAGATCACTGTCATACGTTCCCGTGTACCGTTATTCCTATGTCAATACAGCCACCTGTATATCTATACGCGTATAAACAGTCTGATCCACGCAGCATCCTCAGCCACGTGGTACCTGATCTCTCGGGATAAGATGGGCTAACGAAAGAAGATCGGTAAGTACGGTGCCCTACTATCCTTTTCCTCTTCCTCTTTCATCCCCCAAATAAATCCCCGGCTAATCGACAAGCCAAACACTCAACATCGGATTCGTCTTAGTCATAAAGAATGTAACCTGATCCGGGCCGAAGTGTCATTCGACATGAACGACATCAAGCGAACGCCCTGCTATCACGCGATTCCACCGTAGCGATACCGTGAAGATATTTAGAAAAGCTCCCAGCGTTATGGCACAGGCGCGGGTCTTTGACTTCCCTGCCGCGTTGGTTCCCGTCTGCGCGTCTGTGTCGTTTGTATGGTTCGTGGCGACAGGAGTCTTGGAAACGGGGCCTGCTGCACCTTCCGGCGCATACCACGAGAAACAAGTGTTTCATTAAACATTGACGATTTATCTCAGGGCGGCACCAGTAGCAGCGGCGCTACTCGAGTGTCGCTTGATAGCTTTTCTGATTAGCGTCTAAGTAGCGTGTTAAAGGATCGGACGCCGAGAGCGTCCCGACGCCTGTGGGAAGCTGACCAAGAGCTTTGAATAACACGGAGATAAGGTGGTCGCGTTACGGAAAAAGTGTCTTGAATACGGTTGTCGTGTGTATATGTAATTTTTGAACTTTGAACTTTTGATGAAATTTTTTTTTTTTTTTTTTTTTTTCAGTGCTCCATATTCTCATCTCTCCAGCATCTTTGCCTCTCTGTAAAACGACGCGGGACTTTATCAGCGGAACTACCGGCACCCGATAATTAAGCAAATTGGCTAACGAGAGGTGTCCGGAGAACAGTGGCGATTGCATCGGGCATGTTCACGTGTGCCCTGAGACCGCACGCTCGACCGCACAGGACGTCCTGGTGATACGAAGATCGGGATGACGTCGACGACTACGCTGACGACGACGACGACGTTCAGGATCGTCTCAAGGCTTTGCGAGGAAGACACGTGTTTTCTTTATGTATCAACTAACAATGATATCCGATTTCTTGACGCGTCGAATTCCTTGCGAATCTTCTGGGCTTATCGCGCTGCTTTTATTTTTACGTTTTCAAATTATCGATGCGGTCGGGATCCTACAGGAACTGTGTTTGCCTCTGGGGATTGTTATCTTATCGATTTGCCAATTACACGGCGGATCTGGGAAAGAAGGAGCACGGGGAGGAAATGTAAAATTGGGTCGAATCTTGTACGATTCTTGCTTGCTTATTTCTTTGTATCTTCATTATACGTTCCCGGTTTACCTGAGATCCCACGATTTTTTTGAGACATAACATTGGGGATCTTTGATATTGACTTGGGTTGAGTATGAGAATCCAATTTTTTCGAGTAATTTTCAGTTTCGCATTAACCTACTTATGGGAGACAGCTGAGCGTAGGGACAAATTTATTTTAAGGGTGGTAAATGAATTTATCGAAATTTTCTTCGACGAATATATGTTTTACGTCATCAGTAGAAATTTCTATTTTAGGGATCAAATTGTTTGATAATATACACGTGGCACTTGCGTTCTTATGCAACGTGTCACTACGTAATTTTGAGTCAACGATACGTTTTGATCAACGATATACGAGTTCGATAAACAATTCAAATTATCTATATCTCGGTACAGGTATAGTGGAAAAAAAAAGACGAAGGATCCTTCATGCTCTAAAATCGAAGATCTATACGGATCACAGATTCCCAATCGATAACCTCAAAGCGCAACGTTACCGCGACGTATAAGGGAGCGAGGAAAGAAACCAAAAAAAAAAAGACAATCAAATAAAAACTTACCGCTCATCTTGTAATCGACCATTGATCGCGACAGATCTAAACCGTTCATTCGTTCGGTTTGTAAATCCGCCCTAATCACTGACAATTCACACACAAAACTCCGTCTCCTCCAGCATCGAGGCACTCGCGTCAGTCCAGTTCATTCCCACCAACGATAATGAGCGTCAGCCGCGATATAATTGAAATAGGCCGGTATGAAAAAAAAAAAACCGGCAAAACCAAAAACTCAAAATCCCCGTACATGGACACAAACTCAAAATCCAGGCATAATTACATGTCACGAGGAATGATAAAAATACGAAAACTTATCCGACACTATAATTCACAAGGGTACTCGTCACTGTCACTGATTGCTTTAAAAATAATTGCGGAAAGGCGGGGTGGGGGGGTTGATTTTTGACAATGCGAATAATAATAATAATGCCGGCAGAAGTCACCGCCAGCGCCAGCGGCGGGTCTAGCTTCTCGCGCAGCAAGCCAGAAGAGTGGGCAGAGTGTAGCTGTGCGCCGTGTCAGCTGGCTCTTGGCAGACTAGAAGATCCAAAATCTGTTGAGAAGAGGATGGCACGGTTCCTGAGGGAACCAGGAGAATACCGGGGTGTGGCGAAACCGTTTGTTCCGGGACGCTGGTTGGCCCGCAGGCGGAGCAACCCCTATCGCATCGGAGTCCCCACCATTCAGCCGGGCGACCACAGCATCCCTCGTTCGGGAGAGTATACCAGGCTCTGTGTGTATATATATGCGTACGAACTAGTGGAAGAGAGAGGAAAGAGGCGCGGTACGAGAGGAGAAGACAAAGACGGAGAGAATGTCCTGACCGAAGTGCCGAGCGAGCAGCAGATCAAACGTGGAGGGATACGGATGAAGGGGAAGACGGAGGATCTGGTTTCTCTTGCTAACGCTCGCAATCAACGAGGAACGAGAGCCGGTGCTGATAAGAGCCGGAGAGAAAGTTTAACGAGAGAAGGCGAGACAGCGTGCCAAGAGGTGCGAGAGGGAGAGAGCGAGACGAATAGATCGATAGATAAAAAGGGATGTGGAAAAGCTTTATAAAATTCTAGGGATATCTGGAATTGGATTTGAGAAATCCAGTAGGTTTTGATAGACCAGTCTTATTGTGCTGTCAAGATCCGATGGAACGTTACGTCGTGCAGCTACTGCTTGCGGAGTATAGACGACGTACCCGTATTACTGTGTATACATGACACGACTTGGATTTTTTTTTTTTTTTTTTTTTTTTTTTTTTTTAATAACGAGCATATTTTACCCACTTCACTCGCGGCGCCCTTATGAACTCTAGTGGTCAGCGGTCGAACGTCGATGCGGTGAAGTTTCTTTTTTTCTTTCTCCCTTTTTTTCTCACCGGTTACCCAACCCCATGTAAAAGTGGCCTTTCAATAATGTCAAAGGAGGCAGGGACCCCACATGGAGTGACGGTCAGTAGGACGGCAATCACTGTTGGTATTGGATCTAGCGTGCTGGTTCGCGTAACGTCTCGCTTGTCATGATTTTCGCCGTTTTACATCCGATATGCATATGCGATCGTCATTGACGTTTTGTGGCTAGCACGGGACACGTGTATTCGTATACTGACGTTTCACGTGGACTTTCTTTGATACGTCACTGTCTTTCAAAGCTCGGAGAGAATTTGAAAAAAATTTTCAACAAAAAGTTTTACCCACCTTCAAAAGATTCGTGATCTCACGTGTTACGGGAAAACGACTCCTTCGTGATTCTGGGTCAATTATACGACCGTTG